GCTACTCTACACTGCTCAAAACTCACGTTTGAATCATCAGTGGAAAATCCTTTAAATGTAAACGTACTTACGTGAGTCAGAACTGCCGGCATTTTAGTCAAACGTTACTCTCCCAGGATCAGTAAACAGTCCTCCATAAAATGTGCCGGTGATCCACAGCACTAAGTTGATGTTTTCCCTCAGCGACCAGCACAGATCCCCTTTAAAAAACAACCTTGCTTTGATAGGAGATATTATTAAGTGTTGCTTTTGATAAAACAAGCTCTTTTTCATCATTAAAAAAACATTTTGACACATATGAATGATTGAACCCTTCTCTGTGGACGCACTGTTTTAGACGTAGTGAGAGGACATTCAAAAACACAGATTTGGTATAATAATGAGAAAATTCAATTGAAGGTGATAATTGTGTTAAATACTTAAGGGGGTCTGAATACTTTCCGTACCCACTGTATACATTAATTGAAACCAGGTAAAGCAGTTTATGCTTTTTGAATGTGCTATTCTGAAGCAAAACTATAAATAAAGATGAGATAATGGACTTCAGTTCCCCCAGGCAGGGTGGGAAATTAACACACCGGCTGCTCTGCTCTCAATGCACTTCGATCCCATACGCTGCTTTGGGGTGGCAATGCTCATTTTAAGGGTGGCAGTTGCCACCCCGTGCCACCCTTGTGGACACCCCACTGATCACCAGCCTGGCAGTGGCTGATAATGTTTTCTTAGGCTATCTGTCGGCCACCGGCTGCCACCCCGTGCCACCCTTGTGGACACACCCCTGACCACCAGCCTGGCAGTGGCTGATAATTTTTTCTTAGGCTATCTGTCGGCCACCGGGCACTTTCACACTAGCACTTTGGTGCGCACCTGGGTTCGATTGACGTCAGACCCTTACAAAACAAAAATATATGGGAATATACTACAAAATATATAATGCGATATATTACGTACTACATTTAGTGCAAATTGTCACATGACCAGAGCAGTTTATTTCCTGTTTGCACCTTGAGAAGATGATAACTGCATCAAAGCTCTAAAACAAAAGGCTAGTAATAATAATAAATAATTATTGATTATTTCAAAGGGTTACTAATGACACATCATTTGGATATTTTCATGTCTGGGAAAAGTTTGGGATTAAATAGGTTGAGTGTTATTTCATGTGTGTAGTCTGTTGCTCAGTAAGGGGGAGATCTGTTAGTGTTTACTGTTGTAATATATTGAAATGTAAAAGGTTTTCTGGCATATGTAAGTTTGTGGTCTTACCATTGAGGAGTAGAGCCTGTGGTTAGGATGACGACTGGACAAACAACTTTAAATTATATTTTACTTTACTTAAAAAGTAATGGCTGTGCAATTTTCAGCACAGTGATAGTCTGTTCACTAAGTGTTTAGTGTGAGCAGATGTGCTTATGCTATTGTAAATTAGCTATATCTTAAAATATGAAACATGTACATCATAAATGATAATTATAAGAAATATATAGTCTATTTACCACAGCAAAGGGTCTGAATACTTAGGACCATGTGATATTTCAGTTTTTCTTTTTTAATAAATCTGCAAAAATGTCAACAATTCTGTGTTTTTCTGTCAATATGGGGTGCTGTGTGTACATTAATGAGGAAAAAAAATGAACTTGAATGATTTTAGCAAATGGCTGCAATATTGTTAAGAGTGAAAATTTTAAGGGGGTCTGAATACTTTCCGTACCCACTGTATACTGCATGAGGATGTGTTTAATATATTTTACACATGCAGTACCTTATCTTATGTATATATTATAAAATGTATTACTGAATACAAAATCACATATTATGATATCGGCCTATAAGTAAATGTCACATATCTTTCAATGTATGAAAAGCGGCAGTTCCTTATGTATTATTCAATAGGCCTATATTGTAACATATTTACACAATATATTATTCTGTATAATTTCTAATATATCGCTGTCAACCCGAGACTGCCTGAAGGTGTATGGGGTTAGATCTCTGCCACAATTCTGTCCGAAAAAGGTCATATTTTGAGCGCACAAGAGTGCGTTTTGCACACGCGCAAACTGAGTTTTGTTCATCTCGCAAAGAAAACAGTATTTTGAGCGCACTAAAATCAATTTTGCATCTAAAATAAGTTTTTGGATGTGTGCAGACCTTCTCTTTTGCGCATGCAACGTTTCAATAGCTTGCACCCTTGATGCCCACCCTCAGTGCTCTCTAAATGCCGACAGCTGGCTTGCTCAACACAACCCAGTGTTACAGTATGCCATAATTCCAGCCAATCAGAGACGAGGCTGCTAAATTCTGATTGGTTGCCTTGACAACCAATCACAACATTCCTTGCATTACTGATGACAGCAGAAGAGGAAAAATACAGTGCATGCATAAATATTATGCAAGTTGATATTCTGGTCATATTTTTTTCCAAGCACATTTTACCAGTTCCAAACAACATCAATCTTAATAACTACTATTAAACTTGTTTTTAATCCCTTAAAACCGATATATAATTGTTCATGAAGGCTGGAAGTGAAAAACGCATTATAATCAGGTGTGCATAATTATTAAGCAGGTTATCTTCTACAGATAAAATCTCAAGATGGATGGGGCTGGTCCTTCAAGAGTTCTTCTTATCTGTCTATAAAGCCTAAGAAACATTTTTAGAGACCAAAAAATGCAGATGAGCTGAAGGCCACTGTCAAAGAAACCTGGGCTTCCATACCACCTCAGCAGTGCCACAAACTGATCACCTCCATACCACGCCGAATTGAGGCAGTAATTAAAGCAAAAGGAGCCCCTAAATGAACATACTTTCCAGAAGGCCAACAATTCACTAAAAATGTTTTTTTTATTGGTCTTATGAAGTATTCTAATTTGTTGAGATAGTGAATTGGTGTTTTTTTTAAAATGTGAGCCAAAATCATCACAATTAAAAGAACCAAAGACTTAAACTACTTCAGTCTGTGTGCATTGAATCTATTTAATACACGAGTTTCACAATTTGAGTTGAATTACTGAAATAAATGAACTTTTCCACGACATTCTAATTTATTGAGATGCACCTGTATATACGTATTCAAGTATTTTACTACACTTCAGTATGTGATTCTTATTAAGTAGGGGTATTTTTTAGGACTCTATACTTAACCTCAGTCTGAGTTAAATCTCTTTTTTTGGCTCATTTTATCTGTAATAGAAAATCTGCTTAATATTTATGCACAACTGAATATAAGTCATTTTTCACTTCCAGCCTTCATGAATAATTATATATCAATTATAAATGATATATTTTATAAATCAAATTACATCACTGAGAAAATGGATGCTAAATGACTACAAAAGCACTGCACAAAACTGTACATAAAATCAGTCTATATAATGGTGTCAGAAGACTGTGGACTGTCTTTGGTTCCTTTGTATTCGTCCTTCACTATCTCCTGTCATTTTATATAATGGAGCTTCAGTTGTGGAACAGAGTGTAAAAATTCTTATGTTTATGAAACACTGGGCCACACAGGGGCGTAAATTCTTGTAATCAAGTAATTAAGATTACAATCTTGTAATTATTCTTATTGCTGACCCTGTAAGTAAATGGAGTCGAGGAGTCGATTCCAGGAGTCAATTCCATCAATGACGGGGATGAGAGTCAACGCTAAAATTATGCCCTATGCCCAGCTTTTTGCCGCTCTCAGTGCTTTCTCGGTCTGCTGTCAGTCCCTTGATCCACTGTGCAGACTTGAAGCTCAACTCAATGAACTAAAATTGCCCTCTGCTCTGCTCGCTCGATCCACGCCAGTGGACCAACAGAGAATGTTGTTTCTCTGCTTTCTTTATTTACACCTTAATAAGTCAAATTTTGTTTCTAACTGCAGACTAAATTCAGTTTAATTTGTTTATTTACATTACCAGCAGTGTAACGTGAATTTAATCTCTGAGAAACGGTTTGTGTGTTCTGCAGGTGTGTTTGGTGCTGATGAAGATGAAGTGAAGTCAGTATCAGTGATGGAGGGAGATTTTGTCACTCTAAACCCTGATCTTACTCAAATACAGGGATTTATTCTGATACTATGGAGGTTTGGAGATCCAGTCATTGCTCAAATCAATGGAAAAGAGACCTCTTATCCCAGTCACACTGAGATATTCAGAGGCAGACTGCAGCTGGATCAGACTGGATTTCTCACAGTCAAGAACATGAGAATTAAACACTCTGGACTTTATAAAATAGAGGTCATCCAAAGAGCTGGGACCTCAAATATGAAATTCACAGTTACCGTCTATGGTGAGGATATATTTATTTTTGAATATCTTTGAGTTTTTAAAAATAATTAGATGTTTCTTTTTCAAGTCAAGTCAAGTCAAGTCGAGCTTTATTGTCATTCCGCTACATGTGGGGACATACAGTCGAATGAAATGTCATGCCTCACAGGACCACGGTGCTACATAAATACAGACATACAGCAATGTAGTAAAACAGTATAAACGTATACACAACAAACCTACTGACAGATTTTGACCATAAATATACTATATATAAATCTTTACCTATACATAAACTAAAAAATACAAACTATACGAATGCTTCACATAAATACTGTACATGGTCAAAGAGAAATATCGTAAGTCAAGCAGCTGGCTGGGGAACAGTGCAAGATGATCTGTAGTGCATGAGCATGTAAACATACATATATTATATTATATTATATTATAGAGTATTTTGTGGGATTATGTACACACAGCAGTGTGTGTGAAAAGTGTCTAGTGTGCATAGAGGAGAGTGTGTTACTACAGGTGGTTTGTACAGGCCCTCTGATACTCCGGTACATCCGTCTTCCTGATGGTAGGAGCTGGAAGAGACTGTGGGAGGGATGGGTGGGGTCCTTCACGATACTGTTGGCTTTGCTGGAGCATTGTGTAAGGAAAATGTCCAGAATAGAGGGGAGAGGGGCACCGGCCATGATCTTTGCAGCTGTGTTCACTGTCCGCTGGAGGGTCTTGCTGTCTGTTGCACTACAGTTCCCGTACCAGACAGTGATGCAGCTGGTCAGCACGCTCTCAGTGGTGCCCCTGTAGAATGTGATGAGGATGGGTGGAGGGAGACTTGCTCTTTTCAGCCGGCAGAGAAAGTGTAGGCGCTGTTGTGCCTTCTTGGAGAGTGACATGGTGTTGGTGGTCCAGGTGAGATCCTCTGTGATGTGCACCCCCAGGAATTAAGTGCTGCTGACTCTCTGCACAGTCGAGCTGTCGATGGTTAGTGGGGGGTGGTACATGGAGTTTCTCCTGAAGTCCATCACAACCTCCTTTGCCTTCCCCACATTGAGAGACAGGTTGTTAGTGCCACACCATTCAGCCAGCTGTGCCACTTCCTCTCTGCAGTGCGTTTCATTGTTGTTACTGATGAGACCTATCACTGTTGTGTCATCCGCAAACTTGATGATGTGGTTGGAGCTGAACTTGGCAGTGCAGTCGTGGGTCAGCAGCGTGAAGAGCAGTGGACTGAGCACACAGCCTTGTGGGTCACCTGCCCTGTGATCACCAGGTGTTGTGCCCAACACGGACTGACTGAGGTCTTCTGCTTAGAAAGTCCAGGATCCATTTACAGAGGGAATTGTTTAGGCCCAGCAGGTTTAGTTTATTAATTAGCTGTTGTGGGATTATTGTGTTGAATGGTGAGCTGAAGTCAATGAACAGCATTCTAACATAGGAGTCTTTATTTTCTAGGTGGGTAAGAGCCAGGAGGAGGGTGGAAGAAATTGCATCGTCAGGAAAGCGGTTTGGACGGTGTGCAAACTGGGGCGGATTGAGTGTATTGTGGAGGCTGGTTTTGATGTTGTGCATGACTAACCTCTCAAAGCACTTCATCATGATTGGAGTCAGTGCTATGGGACGGTAGTCGTTTAGACAGGACACAGGTGATTTCTTTGGTACTGGTATGATTGTTGTGGATTTGAGACGTGGGGACGACTGCCTGGCTCAACGAGGTGTTGAAGATATCTGTTTGGACATCTGTCAGCTGTGCAGCACAGTCTCTCAGCACACGGCTAGGTATATTATCAGGACCCGCAGCCTTGCGTGGGTTAATCCTAGATAGGGTCTTCCTTACGTCAGCTGGAGACAGACAGAGCGCCTGGTCGTTGGGAGGTGTGGGCAGTTTTTGTGCAGGTGTGTCATTCTGCATTTCAAATCACGAATAAAAGAGTGCATCTGGGAGGGATGTGTCATCATCACAGGCCTGTGGCGGGGGCTTGTAGTCAGTGATGGTCTGAATGGCTTGCTACAATTAAACTGATATTCAAAGTACAGCCAGCAAATATTACTTGTAATGTGTTCAGCAGTCTTACGGAATTTTAGTATGACAATATCACAGTTGCGATTACTTTTATTAATCTGCATATGCCTTATGTTGTAACCAGAAGATGAACTAATCGTGTAACTTAATATGATTTTTGCAGAGTCACCATCTGCTGTTAATGCTGGTGAAGCTGAAATGAAGCTCATGTCAGTGAAGGAGGGAGATCCTGTCATTCTTCAGACTGACATTCCTCAACTATACAGAGATGAGCTGATAGTGTGGAGGTTTGGCGATGAAGGAAAACTCATAGCTAAACATGATATAGAGGCCAAGAGCTCACCATTATATTATGAAACTGATGAGAGATTCAGAGACAGACTGCAGCTGAATCATCAGACCGGATCTCTGATCATCACAAACACCAGAACCACAGACTCTGGACACTATAAAGTGAAAATCAGCAGCAACAAACAGACCTTATACCAGAAATACATTGTTACTGTCAGTGGTGAGTAACTCAATTGAAGTAAGTAATTGAAGTATTGATTGTTTATCAGTTGTCTGTGAATAATTCAGATGATGTGACATTTCGAGGAATCAAACCTTCCTTTAAAATAAGAAACTTCAGTGGACAGTGACGTCACAGTAACTTCAAGAGCTCATAACTTCTTCTTCAGACCTTTTATTATTTAAAACAATTTGTTGTGAATTATATAAAATTAATTACACCTGTAAACATAGAACTGTAATAATAACAACTGCTGTCCTGCAATTGATAATTAAAAATTTAAGCTTCATCACTGTTTATACTATAAGTATCATAATCATTATACTTGACAGATCTACAGGTTATACTGTACTGATGTTTCTAGTGTTTGTTATAGATCAGACACACATTCACACTAATGACTGTCTCTCTTTATCGTTACAGGTTCAGGTCTGTCTCCAGGTGTTGTTGTAGGGATTGTTGTTGTTCTGGTGGCTGCAGCAGCTGCTGGTGTGATTTCTTGTTGCCACAAGATCGCTGAAATACGTAAGTATTTTAAAAAAAATTCTAAAATTGCTTTATTGTGTGAAAGAATGAGATTTAAAAGCTGCAGCAAAGTGGAATATTTTAAGCAAATAACCACTTAAATTGCACATAAAGCTGTTGTATAAGTTCAGAAGACGTATAGCGCACAAGTCATGTGGAAAACGTTTATGGTGCATTTCTGGTGTCTTACACATTTTTTGAGCTTTGTGATGGTCATGACAATATGTCATTGCTTGAAACAGAGCTGCATGAAGATTTTAAAATAAGGACTGATTTATTTAGTGGTATGATATGTGTAATGGTTTTTAGACAGATTTTCACCTTGCATACATTTGTGTTTTTCTATGTTAACATTATTGTAAATTGTTACAGCTCTTTAAAAAAGAGATGACAAACTGCTTATTAGAAGCACATGTGAAGAACCACACAGCATCTTCTCAGTGTTTCTGTCATGTTCATCTGATCTCCTCATTTCTGTTTCTGTGCTGCTGTGACATGAAGCGGAGACAGTGTCAGGGATGGAGGGAGACGATGTCAAACTAAACACTGGTGTTACTAAAATACAGACAGGTGATCTGATAGAGTGGCAGTCTGGAAATGAAGACTCTCTCATAGCGCAAATCAAAGGAGAGACCAGTGAGATCACAACATATGATGATGTTCTTCATGGGATATTCAGAGACAGACTGAAGCTGGACAAGAAGACTGGATCTCTGACCATCACAAACACCAGAATTGAACACACTGGACCCTATAAGTTACTGATCAACAATAAATACAAGAGGACATTTATTGTTTATATCAGAGGTGAGTATCTCCAGACCATAATGATCACAGTTCTTCATCCATTCTGTTGGTCTGTTTCTGTGGTTAGTTCAGCTCACAGGCCCTATAGGCCTATACGTCTTCAGTGTGCTGTCTCTTGTTAGACTAAACTTTATGCTTTAAAAATAATAATAAGAAGAAATAGATTGTCATGTATCACATGTTTCCAGCATGTCAAAGCACAAGAGATACAGGTTCAGTTCTGGACAGTGCCATGTTCCTTCTCTCATGTATGATTTCTTTAAATTTAGAAAGTGACAAAATTGTTGTAACTTGACATACATTTTTGTGGGATATCTGATGTTAATTGTATCCAGCACTGCTATATCAACAAGAACTTCATCTCCAGAAGTGCTATAAGAGTTCACGTCACGAGCATTTCACTATTTAATTTGATTAAACTCTCATAGTATCATATTAACCCTGAAACTCAAATGTCTTCACAACAACCCCAAAATAAAGAAATTATGAAAGAAATATGTTCATTATTGTACAGTGGAATGTGCTTCTTAAAGTAATAATAATATATTTGAAAGCTAACCATTTGTTTAAGTAAATAACTGAAAAAATACTGATATACATTATCAATAACCTTATTACATTAATATCACATATTTAACGTGCATGTGTAGTTCATTCTTACCAATGCTTGCTCTCATATAGTATGTAACACACACACGCACACCTTTAATTAAGCTTTACTCACTTAATGCTCCTCATTTCTATTCTTTCTTCTTTCTCCTCTTTCTGTGTGCTGCTGTGACATATAGTGAAGTCACTGTCAGCGAAGGAGAATGATTCTGTCACTCTAGAGACTAAAACTGAAATACAGACCGGTGATGAGATACGGTGGCTGTTTGGATCTGAAGACACTCTTGTAGCTGAAATCAAAGGAGAGAAGAGAGAGATGACTACACATGATGATCCTGATGGGAGATTCAGAGACAGACTGGAGCTGGTCGAGGCGAATGGATCGCTGACCATCAAAAACATCACAGCTGATCATGCTGGACTCTATAAACTACTGATCCTCAGTAGAGGCAGGACCTTGTGCAGTAAATTCTTCGTTTATGTCAAAGGTGAGTATCTCAAGTCTGTGAATGTAATAACGATCGCAGTTCTTCCTCATGCATTCTGTTGTTCTGTTTCTGCAGTTAATTCAGCTCAAACTTGTATGCGTGTGTACACAGTGACAAAGAAGGGAAAGAATATAAAGTGTAGAAATGAAGAAGAGAGTAGAGACAGCTGTGAGAGAATGAACTGGTGATGGTTGAGGAGAGACCCCCTCATGAATGTAAAGCGCTTTGGGTGTACAGCAATACACAATAAAAGCGCTATATAAATGCATCATTCATTCATTCTTTCATTCAATAAACAACCGGAGAGCGAAGGAAAATGAAAATGAAAAGACTAGAGCAGAGAAGAGAGGGTGATGTCTACTTATATATGTTTATGCTTATTGTGACCTTTTCAGCAAATGTGCTATACTGACAATATGGCATTGAAATGATTTCGGACATTTTATTTCCAATGGTAGTTTGATAGTGAGTTGTTGGCATTAGATTGACCTCTGGAGCTTTTTATTTTATCTCATTGTCTCTGCATTTTCTGTCAGAGTCCACAGGAAACTGAGTGAATAAATCAGTGACTGTAGTGATGCCGCTGTTAAATGGAGAGGATGTGGATGTAGTGAATGAGGAGGAGGGGACGAGTTCACTTTAATAACATAAGACCCGCCCACCAGTGTCAATCACTCTGACATCCCCAGCAAGCAATTTTGCGTTTAAAAGACATATATTAGACGTCTAAATATAGCCTAGCCGTCTAGGCTAAAACAAGGCTAAATTTGGGCTGTCAGTGAAAATCTAATAGACGTCTAATCATAGCCCAAGAACAGACTAGTCATCAATTAGACGGCTATTAAACGACTACATATATACGTCTAATAGACGGTGAATATGCGTCTAGGCTAAAACGAGGCTAAATTTGGGCTGTCAGTGAAAATCTAATAGACGTCTAATCAAAGACCATTTATAGACTAGTGATCAATTAGACCGCTATTGAACGTCTTTATATAATCATCTAATATAAAATAAAATGGCAATCCATCCAAACAAATTCAATGTACAGCTTCTCTCTCTCTCTCTCTCTCTCTCTCTCTCTCTCTCTCTCCGCGCATGTGTGAGCGTGGTGGGAAGAGTGGAGCTTGTTAGAAGGAGCATGAAAAACTTTTTCTCTTCTTTTTTTTCCTTTTCCCCCTTTTTTTCGGTCAAGTTATTCTTCGTACTTCTAAGCCGCACACGGCTTTTGTCGCGTGACGGAATGGCGTCTGATCTTGTACAGGTAAACCCTCACCTGTCGATGCGAAATGGGTGCAGGTGTGTGCCCGAGCCCGGTGTTACGGTGTTCAGTGGGCGGAGCATACATGAATATTCATGAGTTTCCCGGACATGCGCGTGGAACCAAGTGGAACTGAAAATTTAAGTTCATGCTCCTTGTATCTCGGCAGGTTTAATGGAATATTTTTTTTAAAAAAAGGTAAACATATTTACAGCGTTGCGGTTAGAAGGAGCATGAAAAACTTTTTCTCTTCTTTTTTTTCCTTTTCCCCCTTTTTTTCGGTGTAGTTATTCTTCGTACTTCTAAGCCGCACACGGCTTTTGTCGCGTGACGGAATGGCGTCTGATCTTGTACAGGTAAACCCTCACCTGTCGATGCGAAATGGGTGCAGGTGTGTGCCCGAGCCCGGTGTTACGGTGTTCAGTGGGCGGAGCATACATGAATATTCATGAGTTTCCCGGACATGCGCGTGGAACCAAGTGGAACTGAAAATTTAAGTTCATGCTCCTTGTATCTCGGCAGGTTTAATGGAATATTTTTTTTAAAAAAAGGTAAACATATTTACAGCGTTGCGCAAACCTATGCCTAAACTACATTTGTTCATAATTTTGTAACAGTTTATAATGTTTTTATTAGTCTGCGCATTTTGTGCAGTCGGCACTGACGGAATTATTGCAGACATTCAGCACACTTCAAGTCAAGTCAAGTCTGCTTTATTGTCAATTCTTCCACATGTACAGCACATACACACAGAGAATTGAAATTGCCTTACTCTCAGACCCTTGGTGCATACAGATAACATAAATACAGATTAAATACAAAATACAACTATACAAATATACAAATAAGGTAAAAATATATATATAAAGCACAAGGCATATGGCAGATAGAGTGCAAACCAGTAAAGTAAACAACAGTGCAGATATAATGATTGTAGTGCAAAAAAATTATTTGTAGTGCAAAAGAGCTTATTCAGACTGATTAAAGTGACAGTGTGTGTGTGTGTATTTGGGAGGGGGGGAGTGGGAGAGTCCGTCAGAGGGTCAGAGTTCAGTGGTGCATGGGGCAAAAGAGGGGAGGCGGGGCATGGTCGGGAGGGAGTTCAGCTTCCTGACAGCCTGATGGATGAAGCTGTCCTTCAGTCTGCTGGTCCTGGCCTGGAGACTCCGCAGTCTCCTCCCTGATGGCAGCAGACTGAAGAAGCTGTGTGTCGGGTGGGTGGGATCACCTGCAATGCAGAGGGCTTTGCGGGTGAGACGGGTGTTGTAAATGTCCTGAAGGGAGGGGAGAGAGGCACCAACGATCTTCTCAGCTGCTCTCACTATGCGTTGAAGTGTCTTGCGGCAGGACGCGTTGCAGGCGCC